CCTTTAATGGCAGAATGTGGTAATTATTGAATTAATTATTGCTAACATAGTTTTCAAATGAAAAGAGAATAGAAAAAAAACCAAATTAAACGTGACACAGCCTGACCAAACACATGTCAAATTACAGTTTCAAGGTTACTTTACAAAATACCTCCATTTATACCATAGATCCTTATTTTAATCTCATCTGCAAACTCCCAGGTTCTGGTGACCAGGGAGTAGACATCTTTGGGGACCGCTATTTTGCCTACTACGATTACAATGACTGGGCAGTGTTGCTGACAGAGGGGCACACAGATCCTCTAAAATATCCTTTTATTTTTCCCTGTTGGTATTCCTTGTAAATAAAGATTCACTGTCCAGTTGTAAGGATCAGGTATAAGTCTGTTAATATAACAATCTCACATTTCTTTCCTACCTATGGAACTTTTTTCCACTGACACTATGACTCCTAGAGTCAGCAAATATTAATTGAGCTCTATTCCCTGTGCACCCATGTCCACAAAATGAATACATCTGTTTCATGACCTTGAGGAACTTATAATCTACTAGAAGAGAAAGATGGTACTGCAGTGTAACCCACTTTTAAAAAATTTCTTTCTTTTTTATTTAATTTTTATTTTATATTAGGGTATAGTTGATTTACAATGTTGTGTTAGTTTCGGGTGTACAGCAAAGTGATTCAGTTATATATATCCATTATTTTTCAGATTCTTTTCCCATATAGGTTTTTACAGAGTATTGAGTAGAGTTCCCTGTGCTATACAGTAGGTCCTTGTTGATTATCTGTTTTATATATAGTAGTGTGTGTATGTTAATCCCAACCTCCTAATTTATCCCTCCCCTGACCTTTCCCCTTTAGTAACCGTAATTTTGTTTTCTATGTCTACGAGTCTGTTTCTGTTTTATAAATAAGTTCATTTGTGTTGTTTTTTAGATTCCACGTATGAGTGATATAATATGATATTTGTCTTTCTCTGTCCGGCTTACTTCACTTAGTGTGATAATCTCTAGGTCCATCCATGTTGCTGCAAATGGCATTATTTCTATCTTTTTTATGGCTGAGTAGTATTCCATTGTATATATGTACCACATCTTCTTTATCCATTTGTCTGTCGATGGACATTTAGGTTGCTTCCATGTCCTGGCTATTGTATATAATGCTGCTATGATCATTGGGGAGCATGTATCTTTTCAAATTATGGTTTTCTCCAGGTATATGCCCAGGAGTGGGATTGCTGGATCATATGGTAACCCACTTTTATAGATTATATTTCCTAAATAGCTTTAGAATCCCTCCCTTCCTGTCTCTCATCCCTCCTTTTGTCATGTGTTACTATGATTTTTGCAGAAAATACAGCCAGTTTCCTTGACATCAGTTGGGCTTCCACACTCCTTGCTTTGGGCCATTACTGTACCCACAGATGTGCTCACGTCACCCTTTTGCCAAAAATCCTTGTGTTCCTGGCATCAGGATAAGCTGTAACCCTCCACAGGTCCTATTCCTGGGTGTGGGCTCTACCATTCCAGCCTCATCACCTGCCATTCCAGGAGCACGTTGTGTTCTAGTGGAATAGAATAAACCTACCACCCCACAGTTCAGCTGTCTTGGCTGTTGACTTTTACAGAGCTCTTCTCAATTACTGGCTCCATTTTTCCTCCTTCACTGCCTGAGAAAGTCCTGTGCATCCCCAGTTATGGCCTCAAGTCATGCTTTCTAGAAAGCCAGCCCTCACCCCCCTCGCTGGTGAGGAGGCTCTTTTTCCTGGGTTTACTGTGTCAGGCAGTTCCTCGGTCTGTAGTGTAATTAGTGCCTTACCTGTCTGTTTTTCTAACCAGACTATGGATTCAATTAGGTAAGGGATGATTCTCTTAACCCCATGCTCCCTGTATATGTAGAGTGCCTGCCTCATAAAAGATGTTTACTAAGTGTGGGTTGAATGAATGCTTGGATCCACGTACATGTGAATGATGTAATAGAAAATACCTGCAGATTGAAGCAAGATTTATGATGGCATATGGATTCTAAGCTAAAATGATTGCTAGCTAGCACTTTTCTCCTTTCTATATACTGTTTCTCTTGAGGAAGCTGAATCTAACTTTCTATGTGATTAAATACATGGGCTTAAAAAAAAGTCCCATTCCTGAGAGTTCATGTGACTCATTGGAGTTCTGTAACGCTGTTAGTTTGAAGCTGTTTATTTTAAAGGATAAATTTGTGGCACGAAGTCAACAGCTATGAAGTAAAGCTCCTCTCAACATATATATGAATCCAACACAGAGGTTTTCTTAAACTTGACTGCCCTCAGTACATCCTTGAATACTTGTGAGGGATCCATAAGGGCATACTTTAAAATTCTTTTGAATAAACATTCTTTTGAGACAGGCTTATTTCATTAGGACAAATATTACAAGATGACTATAGAAGTATATTCTTACAAGATTCATGCCACAAGTAAGTAAATAAATAAGTAGGTAGCCCTTTTTTTTTGTCATTGTTAATAAACAAAGCAAATAATTATAAATGTGAAGTATGCCTTTCTTCAGGGCTCTTTTTTTTTTTTTTCAAAATGAGATTAGATTTTTTTTTCAGTCTGAAAAAGACAAACTTAATTTTATAGAGTAGTAGGTCTAAGGTTACTCCTAGTGACCTTAGAATATTATTTATTATATTTATTTGGGGGAGAGGATGGGAGACAATGTATGAAATACAGAGAGAAATACTTTCTCCTGTTGTATTAATTAATGCTGGATTGATGTTGTTTTGTTTAACTTCTCAGTGCCCTTTGTCAGACCAAACTGAGGGGATTTAGTAATAAAAAAGACTCACATAGGCTATATAAGGTATATATTTAATGTCACATTCAGATCTATGACTCTTTAAGCTATTAACAAGGCTGTTTTGATAGCTAGTACTAAAGATCGTGGGAACTGTTCTTCCGCGGGCCCGACGTTTCCTTCGCTGTGGCAGGAACTGTACTGGCGCAGCACCTGGATGCCTTGTCTCTTTCCACGCGTTGCTGCTGGACCGGAAGCCGGGAGCACGCCCGGCCCAGCCCCTCCTTTGGGAGCTCACTCCCCACAGCAGCCCTTCCTCCATCCTGCGAGTTTGCCAGCAGCACCCCACGTGGGGGGCCGGAGATGGTGTGGTTTTGCAGTGCGGTCCGTGGCTGGGTGGGTGAGTCTAATTCCGTGCTTCAGTTCTCGCAAGCCGATGGTTACCGCGCATCGGCCGTGTTCTGCGTATTCTGCAGGGCCAGGTCCACGGGTACTAAACGAGGTGTTTGACAGCCTGTCCGCCTTTCTTCTTGAACTCATCCCTCAGCTGGTCCAGAATCCGGGCAGGGACTTGTGGTCCCGATAATTAGGCAAGTGTCCTTGCGCATGTATATCTTTAAATTCTCACAACTGCCCTGACAGTTGCATTGTCCCCTTACAGATGAGGAAAGGGGGGCCCCAGGAGCATAAATTACTCTGACGTTAGGTTTGGCACCCTGGTCCGTCTACTCCCAAACTCATGTCCGTTAGGACATACTGACAAAGAAAATATCACAGCAAAAGCTTCTAAAAGGCTTTGCATAATATAAATCACTGAGCTCTACAGGTGAGTTTTATTATTGGTAGCCTGGAGTGTTCATACCTATAAACACAAACATTTTCATACGGTCTGCGAGTCCCTGAATGCACAGGTGTGTGCCCACCTCCCCAGTTCCACTGGCCACCTTGATGTCCTCCAAAGCTTTCGGCTCTTTCTAACCATCCCGGGCCTCTTGTTCTCTCTTCTCTGACCGGGGCACGCCTTTTCTTCCACCCTGCCCTTTGCCTTGTAGTTCCTACTTACCCTTCAGATCTCAGCTCCAATGTCACTTCCTCAAAACGGCACCATATCTAAAGATGGCCTCATTGTGATTTCTGCCAGCCACCTGCCCTGGCCATCATTGGTGATCATGTATCCATTTCAAGCCTATATTCCCCAGCAACTGAAGCGCTACTGTGAACACTGGGGCCACTTTTCTGTTGTCCACTGTTGTGAGCCTAGTGTCCTAACACAGTGACAGCACGTGGATGGCACCCAGCATGGTTGCTGGGTGAATAATTGGACATAATGCTTGGTGTCGTGCATTTGCCTTAAGGTCTTTGCCCATTGTTTTCTCATTAATACTTGCAAATAACATGTTAAAGATAGCCTCTTTCCTGATAATTGTAAGAAAAAGAATATATAGGACTGAAATCTATAATCTTTTTTGAGGCTTTAAACTGTGGGAAGCATAGAATGGATTTCCAAGTCTGCGTAACTAAGGACTTAATTAATGTCTCTGGGATAGTGTAAAGACAGCACTGTTCCAGTATTGGAACCTGCTTTGTGTGGTCCTGGGCTGTGGGATGTGCAAAGGAACTTCTCTCCTAGCATTTCAGTGTCAGGTAATATTAAGCACCTACTTCTGCTTGGTTCTGATGGCTCCAGGAAGAAAATCCTAAAGCTGAGACTCATCCTTCAGAACTTATGCTAATACCTACTTACATTTTTAATGTAGCTCTTGATAAGTTGTTTATCAGTTCATGTATAAAATGAGGTCAGTCATAGGGTAGTGTGCGAATTAATTTTGTTTCCAAGCCAAGTATAAAAAAAATGATTAAGTATTACAAAAAGACTAAATGTTGATAGTTTGGGAGCAAAATGAAGAATTTTTCCATGTGCTTTTTCCTCTCCTCCTGTTGAGGCAGAATAACATAATGAACATTTTAAAGGGGCAAAACCAAAGACATTTCTGAACACTTAATTTTGCATCCCTCAAATCCTGAAAGTGTTGATCGAGGCAGAATTTCAGTTTCTGGGCACCTGTTTTCCTGGAACAACTGCCACGGGTAATAAACCGTGGAACCAAGATCTGTAAGGAGGTAACATCAGTAACATCCATTCTGGGCCTTCAGATGTCTTCCTGGTTCCATATGACAGCTGATATTGTTTCTTTCTGCTCTCCCCATCCCCGTGTTTACAGGGCATTGATGTACGGGATGCTCCTCTGAAGGAAATAAAGGTGACTAGTTCCCGGCGATTCATAGCATCGTTTAATGTCATGAATACAACCAAACGAGATGCTGGAAAATACCGCTGCATGATTCGAACCGATGGAGGAGTTGGCCTATCCAACTATGCAGAATTGGTAGTTAAAGGTATTTAATGTTATTTTTATACCTCCAAATAGTCTATTAAAAGAGACATGTGGGATGGTTGTGAGTTCATGATTTGTTGAAAGCTCAGACTTACCCTCGTCTGTTTCTGAACAGTAGTTTGGTGACAGGCTGTATGGATGGATTACATTTTAAGTACAAATTTTGCACCTGAGCAATAGTTTTGAAAAATGTATTTTATTTATGTTGGTTCAGTTGCATACAAAGCAATGAATGTGCTCCGGTCAAGTTCTTTTGCCAACTCTGTGTACAGAGATTGCAACCCTATAAATTTTTTTTTAAGGAATAAAATTTTTTTACTGATAGAAAATCACTTAATATGCAAATATTTCCCAGCCATGGTGTTTATGATAGCAGGGTGGTTAATAAAATGAAGCAGTGTCAGTATAAAAATGCGCCGTCACATCATACAAGCCACATTGATAGTAGTGGGTTAGCATTCATAATGTTGCTGTTAGGTTCTATTACTATATTTTGCATGACTGAAAAATTGAGTCATTATATTCAGGAAGGTGGGAGACGAGTAAAAAACAGGCGGGGGGATAAATTTCCTTTGGCTGGTTTGATGTTTTTGTGTGTGCATGGACTTAGGAGTTTATATAGTATTAAGCTGGTAAGGCAATTTTTGGTCCCAGACAGAATTTGGACTTTTAGATATACCGTGAGGCATTTTTATACCTTGTAGCAAGCCATTGCTGCTTCCTCCTACGGGAAGACAATGATGCCTGCTTGTCACATGTTCTCCCCTGCATTTATTAAATGGGGAACATAAACTTGGTCTCTTTTGGATGGACTATTCCTTTTGTCAGCAAATTTCTCTATGTCAGCAGTTTTACAGACTGCAGGGTTCAAACCCCAGAGCTAGCTGTGTGGGCGTGGTCCTATGGCTTACCCTCTCGGTGCTTCTGTTTTCTCATGTTTAACATAGACATAATAATGTGATCGACCCTAAAGGGCCATCAGGAGGACCAGATGCAAAAGGTATGTGAATGGCACTTAGAACAGGAGACCTAGTAGGCAGCCAGCACCTGTTCAGGCCATGATGGGGCATTGAGTGGCTCTTATTCTCCGTTCTAGTCCATCAGTGGTCCTCATCTGAGAATGCATGGCTGAACCACCTTTCCAAATAAAACAAAATACAAATACCTGCCCACCTATTCTCTACCACCATTACCACACCCATGTTGAATCAGAATCTCTGGGACCAGAGCCTCTGCCATAAAATCTATAGGTGATCCGGGCAGACGCTACTGCTGTGACATCAGCTCTGCCAACGTTAGTCACGCCCGGCTTGGGGGGAGCCTGCCCCCAGCACTGTTTATCTGCAGCAGTGGCTAATGTTCTGTGGAAGGAAGCCAGGAAGCACACCCTGCAGCATCTGCTCACATGGTCTAATTTGCCACACCAGAGCCCTGTGATTTTGGGTTTGTAGTGAAACTGTAGCCCATCTGGCTAGTTTCCGAGTTTAGGTTTTACCTGTAAGAAAACTAAAACTCTGCATAGATGTGCACACCCTCCCCTGCAGAAGGCTCTCGGGGAAGCGAGGGGTTTCCTTGTGGAAAATGGACACCATTTGCCAACAGATCCAGCAGAACGGCTGCCTCGCTGTTGCCACGGCTGAGTTCTTTATTGTCATCACTGTTACTTAATTTTCATCTTGGTCCCGTTCTTTGTGACTGTGTTCTGTTTTCTGATTTCTGGTTGCTACAGTGCTTCACTGTGCCCGTGCCCCATGAGGCGTGGTGCTTTGTAATCAGTACGATAGAAATCTAGTCACCTCTTTAAAAATTGCCTCTGTGGGAAAGTTAATTTGTTGGGAGTTCTAAGCAAGTCAGAAATTTCTAGTCTGCCACAGCACACATAAGCACAGAGGCTGAGTGGGTCCTTACATTTCTGCCGCACGTTTTCCTGCCTTACGACAGCGTGGAGGGATCTTGGGTCATGGTGATAAAATGTCCGGGCACCCTTTGCATCTCTGCACCCTGCCACAGCTGGTGACAATTGGCTTGCAGATATGGCTCAAATCTGGAGTTTGACTTTTCCTCCATTTATAATTTTTATAGCCATATTTTGCATGTATTTGATTTTTCAAAATGAGATAACATGCTGGATTCTACTAATTAAATAAAGCACTGCATTGACACAATTACTTTAAAATATGTAATGGCATGTTTAGGCCACCTGTATGATTGAATACTTTTTATATGCATGTGTTTAGAGTGCTAATTTTTTCAAAATGGGAAAAACTTAAGTCCAAAGAGTTTATAACTTCCTTAAGGTCATTCCCTGATTTGATGCTGGCCCACAAATGAAGCCCAGGTCATTTTAAACTATCATTCTTGTCTGTTTTATGCCTACCACTGCTTTTGGTAATCAAAGACATAAAAATATTTCATGTAATCTCCACAATTCATGTATATATACATATATGCCAATATCATATTTAATTATAGGAGACATATATTAGGAATTCATATATATATATATCAATTAGATATATGTATATGATATGTATCTATAGGTATATAAATTGTTTCTTTGCTGGCTTGATTTAGAATTATTTTTATCATGCCCTTTCACTTGGATTAAATATTTTAAATTGCTTTTTATCACTTAGTATAGATTGAGTTCCTTCCTTCTTTCTCTTTGAGAAAATTTATTCAAAATTTAAATATTGAGATTGGTTCAAGATGGAGGAGTAGAAGGACGTGCTCTCACTCCCTCTTCCAAGAGCACCTGAATCACAACTAACTGCTGAACAATCACCGACAGGAAGACACTGGAACTCGCCAAAAAGATGCTCCACATCCAAAGACAAAGGAGAAGCCACAATGAGATGGTAGGAGGGGCTCAATCACAATAAAATCAATTCCCATAACTGCTGGGTGGGTGACCCACAAACTGGAGAACACTTATACCACAGAAGTCCACCCACTGGAGTGAAGTTTCTGAGCCCCACGTCAGGCTTCCGAACCTGGGGGTCCGGCAACGGGAGGAGGGATTCCTAGAGAATCAGACTTTGAAGGCTAGCGGGATTTGACTGCAGGACTTCGACAGGACTGGGGGAAACAGAGACTCCACTCTCGGAGGGCACACACAAAGTAGTGTGCGCATCGGGACCCAGGGAAGGAGCAGTGACCCCGGGGGGGGGGG